AGAGAAGCGCGACGTCCTAGCTCGGAACCTACTGCAAAATGCCTCTGAAGTAGCAGACATTGCATCTCGAGGAGTGTGTATGCTATTTGTCCACAGGGTACAAGTGTGAGTAGATAGGGGGTCCAAGGTCTTCCACAAGAAGAGATATAGGGCACGTCGTGATATGATACGAGTACGGGCTCGAAGTGGTCTTCACAAGGAAGAGATGGAATATCTAGATTGAGAATAATATTGAGAAGACGTTGCGTGAAGAAGGCAGCTCGACTGGAGGCTACGCTTTATTATGTACATGCTCGTAGTTCACTGTTACGTTACCTTTCCATACTTAGGCCTGCTAGATTTGTATGCTAATAGTAAACCATCATTCTAACCCCTGTTATTATTCCGTGAAATTGCATTAGAAGTGCCGTCAGTCCGCATTGCCAGCCTTACGCTTCCCGACCTAACGCCGGCTGAAATCAAGGACTCGGTCATCAGAGCAGGCAATACAGCACCCGGTGAGGACGAAATTCCAACGGCAATCCTGAAGATAGGCTGGCCATTAATTGAAACTCGGGTCGGCAGTCTTTTTAGAGGCTGCCTTGAGGCTGTTCAACATCCTGCTTGCTTCAAGACTGCTGTACTGGTCATGTTGAAAATGCCTAATAAGCCAGATCGATCAAGTCCACGCTCATATCGACCCATCGCTCCCCTCTCGACCCTAGGGAAAGGCCTTGAACGGTTGATCACCCGCCGCCTCTCTTGGATAGCTATTAGGGACAAGATAGTGGCTTCACAACACTTTGGAGCCGTGCCTCTTCGCTCGGCCACAGACTTGACGATCTGCCTAGTACATGACATCGAAACAGCATTGAACAGTAAGCTTACCGCCTCCCTCCTGACGCTTGATGTGAAGGGTGCGTTTGATGGCGTACTCCCCGGTTGACTAGTCCTCCGACTTAGAGACCAAGGGTGGCCTGATAACCTGGTTAGATGGGTCGCTTCCTTTACCTCCAAACGCGCTGCTAAGATACGCCTAGATAGTTCAACCGGTCCCGAATTCGATATCTCCCGTGGCCTACCTCAAGGCTCTCCAGTATCTCCTATCTTATTCATGCTATACCTTGCCCCTCCTCTCCACATGGGAACCCCCTAAAGAAGATTTGGATATGCAGATGATATAGCCTTCCTTCATACCTCCCAATCCCTCCAAGAAAATGCAGAAAATCTTTCGCGGAACCTCCAAGAAGCAATTCAATGGGGCTTAGGGCAAGGCTTAAAATTTGACGCAGACAAGTACGAGCTCCAACACTTCTCTCGCCGCCGATGTGACCAACAGCCGGGAAATACTCCCATGGTAAGAGCTGGCCCTATCACTGTCTCTAAAAATACTGCACGCCCTTACACTCGCTGGCTCGAAGAACTCTTTCATAAAAAGGTCTCCTTTAAGTGGCATGCCCGAACCCTTGCCTCAAAGGCCCTCAAGGTTAACAATGCTCTTTTATCCCTTGGAAATACGACAAGAGGGGTTCCACCTCATTTACTGCGTCATGCAGTTGATGCATGTGTCCTCCCAATTGCGTATTACGCCTCAGAAACTTGGTGGCCAGGTAGATCTAGACAAGGTCCCAAAGCACGCATATCAAACCGTGTAGACTCTCTACTACAGCAGCTTTCAAAGGTCGTACTCACTTCCGCCCGTGCAACACTTCCAGTGTATTTCACCACACTAACAGCGATCCTACACCGTGAATCAGGGTTACAGCAACCGGAAATAGCTCTCGATGGCCGTGTGCTTACAGCTACAGTCCGACTACGCCTTCTAGATCCTCGACATCCGCTATTACGCCGAGCTAACAGAGTTCTCAGTTTACAGCGTCCTACCTCTCCTTTTGCTCGGCGTGTACTGTCTCTTCCAAAATTAGAGCAAATCAATTCAATTGCCATGCCTCCCTGGAATCCACTTGAGTGCCGAGAAGCCGCACACACCCGGGTGGCTGGACCGAACAGTGGCTCTGTAGATGAAAACAGACAAGTCTTCCTTGATTTCCTCCATACTATCCCCTTAGGAGACATAATTATCTACTCAGACGGCTCGAAGCAACTAAATGGCCTTGGAGGCGCTGGCTTCATCGGCTATCAAGGTGATGTACAAGTTCTACATGGGAGTATCGCTCTTGGAAAGGGCGTCAAAGTTTTTGATGCGGAAGTGAAAGGCGCCCTAGAAGGAGCAAAATCTGCACTAGCACTCCCAACTGCTAAATTCGCTACAGACCCCTGGATTTGTTTAGATAACTTAGAGGTTGCCACTCGACTCTTGTCTCACTTTTCAGGGTCCTCACAAGCGCAATTTGATGAGTTCCTCACCTTGACACCCAAGTGGCAAGAACGCCCTCGGCTTGCCCACACTAGACGGTGCCAAATACAGGTTCGATGGGCTCCGAGCCACACATCCATAATTGGAAATGAAGCCGCTTATAAAGCCGCGAAAAATGGCTGCCATTTACCAACTTCAAATGACCTATTTTTCTCATATGCTGGTCTGAAGCGCTGGGCAAATGAGTCCACAACGCAAGCCACTGGCAGACTATGGAGAAATCTTCTCCCTCAGCACATAAGCTATGAGAAACTAGGAATTATATCAGCTCCCTCTAGGCCTAAAGAACTCACCGTCTCGCGTGCCACTCTAGGCCGTATCCTAGCAGCTAGATCTGGACATGGCGATTTCGCAAACTACCACGAGCGCTTCAACCACGAGAATGCACCAAAATACTGCCGATGTGACCGTAGAAAGGCCCCACTAGATTTTTCTTCTGCCACACAGGGAAAAGAAGATCACGTCTTATGCAAGGTTTACCTTCAAAGATGATCCCGTTCATTCTTAGCACACATGAAGGGGGCGAAAATTCGGGGAATGGCTACAAGAAATTCGATTCTTTACAGAGATATGCCAATTAAACACCTTGGACAATCAATGGATGCCTAAAGCGAGCTAGCTAAAGAAGAAAGTTAGTAATTCAATGGAGCAACAATTTTTATTTTTTTCGGCAGTGTCACAGGGCGAGGGTACGAAAAACGAGGTAAATACTATATATGAGTTGTGCAATGAGAAGGGAAGAGACTATCTAGATACACGAAGGTCTTTAGAGGCTCAGTTATCGCTTAATCTCAAGCCACGCCAACTACCAATCTTCTACCGTGACAGGCAGTGGAGGTCAACAGGGAATGTGGACTGACCTACGCAGGGGATGCGCCGAGCAATCATTACATAACCACATTAGAACTCAGCAATCTGCGGGAAGTAGCTATGTAAATGGACTTTCTATTTATCTAAAGTCTCGTATTGTTTTTTTCCCTTTCCTTTCAAATATGAAGAAGCCCAGGGATTAGACCCTGGCGTTGTTTGTCTCAATAGGGACTTAATAGGGCCACGCGTCAAGCGTGTGGCTCGCTAGACGTAAAATAAAGATCATCATCATCATCCTTAGGTATTGCAGAAAAGCGGCCATGGCATTTTGCAGAGTGTCGCCCGACTATCCACAAATGGAGGGCGGAAACGAAGGAACCACGTCCTACGATCAGGGACATGATAGGCCCGGAAGGATGGCAGAAATTCTGGCGTTTTTTAACTGTAACAAAGTGTTACAGCAAGTTTGAATCGTGAACAGGGGATGTATAGGTCAACTGTAATGCTTCTTGGCATCGTTCGGTCTGGTACGAGAATTAAGATGTAGCGCAGGGCGCTAGCACATTAGAATTGGTGTTTTATTTGTTTTAGTTTTGTGTGTTCAAGTTTCTACGAAACAATGATGTAGGTAGCGAAGAGTCGTATAGATCTGGACTACCCGTGCTATGCCCTCCGGGTGCTGAGATAGTACCCGGTCACGATAAAAATATCATCATCATCATCTTTAGGTAATGGCCGGCAAAGTCGAATTCTTCACATTCAACCTTACTGAAATTGTGTGCAGGACTGGGCAATTGCTCGGCCTCATTTTAGACAAGCACCTCGACCGCGACATCAACATTCCCAACCTTTCGACACATTCCAGGGACGGCGCGAACGAAGAAGCCTCACCCAGACAACGAACAATGTACGCCAAAAGCTGGGGCACCGATGCCTCGGTTTTGAGCTCTCGATTTCGGAATTTCAGCCCTCTCAAATGGGGGTTGAGCTCAATGCAGGGGAGAATTTGGGAAGAACGATATGTGATTTTTAACAGGCTGTTGGCACAGTTGGTCGGATGCTGGATGTGCTTTCTAGAAGTGGTAGGTTGGATTCCTACACGGCCTGTTAAAGGAGGGATGACGGCTGCTCATCGTGAAAGAGTACAGGAGGAATTATTGAGGTTTTCCCATGAAGGTTTTCCCTCAATACATGGTTTTAGGATCATGGTGAATGCGTTCTTACCTATTCGACCCGATGTAACTAGCGTGAGGCACGTATTTGGAAAAGTCAGGCACCGGATGGGCTTTGCTGGTGAATGGAGGAACTTATATTCTAGATGTCCTCCATGCGTGTCATGTCCATTGGAAGGAGGGTGTAAGCCTGGCACGATAAATATAATCATCATCATCTTTAGGTAGTGGAGTAACTGATGACTGCTCAAAACCGGCAGGCCAGCAATATTTCGAGCGGCGCACCGGGTTGTAATGGCTTTTAAATCAACTGCTATCTTTGGTGGAAGAGCACTAAGTTTTTGTGCTTGACTATCTTCGCATGCCAGTTGTGAGGACAAGATAAAAACGATCGTGACAAAAGAGAAGATCACTTATAGCTTGTAGGCTATGTTCGCACCTTTGCCTGTCCGATTATCTGCACCAGCCGTGAATCGAACACGGGGCCCATCGAGACTGCTGGCAACGATGGATTTTACCACTAAACCACTGGTGCTTTCTACTCTTGCGCATGTATATATTAATAAAGTTGGTTATTATTGACTTAAATGACTTGAACTTGTATTCGCATGATGACATTCACTATTCAATACCTATGACTCCTTGCGGCTTGGCCAAGGCGCATGGACATTTCCTGTACTGTACTATGCCCGACCGGAGTCTTCCCCCAGTTCCAGTTTCTTTTAGCAATCCGTCAAACTTCTTTTTAGGCTCCTGGGAGGGGCTATAAGTATTGTCAAGTGGTTCAGTCCGACAAGATTCTACTCAACAATCTGCCCTATAAATTCAGGCTGAATTAACTTCAATTAATAATTCTTGGTGTTATCACAATTCACGTGGCGGTCCGGCTACAGAAAATGAGCAGAGTCCAGGACTCAGGCTCCTGAGGGAAAAAGTTTATCAGGTAATGTTATCTGTATGGTGCGGATGTGACATTAGGCGTTGCTTTATATGTATATTAAGGGCTCGAAATCTCTTGTCAGTAGGTGAGCATCATCATCGTATTCTGAACATCATCAAGTTTACCCGCAAACAGCCGGCAAAGACGAATTCTTCACCTTCCAGCGGTGCCGGTGTAATTGCTCAGTATGCTCTGCATCTCTGGGATGGCGAAGAAGAATCTCATCTGAATCAAGTGTTGGAAAACGAAGTATAATCCTATTAGTAACGATTACCTTCATTACGTAAGGGTTTCCAGCGCAATCCCTACATCCACTATTCACACTATAGTCCCGTCTCCCCTGTAAGATTTGCATGAACAGGTACTTTTTTTTTTTTCATATTGTATTCAGCTATCTAGCTATGACAATAACAGGTACTAGTGTGGCTCTACTTCTATGACAAGAGAACACAGCGTAAATGAGAGCCTAACACTACTCACTGATTTACTTCATGATATTCTTACGACGTTTTTTATGGACTTGTTTGATACCTTTTTATATATAAACAAACAATCAATTCACTCTTCTCCGCTCTGCCTTCAGTGATCCTTTTTTCTTCCAATACAAAGTCGAAAGCAACTACAAGCATATCTAAAATCAACGACTTCTCGTCAATTACGGACCCATCTTCCTCATGCGAGTTCTTCAACTTACTAATACCAGAAACCAGCTAGCCTCAAATACCGATAATGGCGTTACTCCAATTGTTCTCGGCATTTGCCTCATAAAAACCCGGTCATCTCCCACTACAAAATTATAATGCTACATATACTCGCGATTAGGAATCCATGTCTCAACATACAAAGCTTGGGTCTTGGTTTGTGGAAGACTGCTGCACTTATAGACCTCTTCAGCTAGAGCAAGGATGGGCAGCTGGGATTTGGAACGAGAGAGGGAATAGCTCAGTTGTGGGCGATCCAGGATTGATATTTCTCGACGGGCTTTCGGCCGGAATTTTCGTGCGTGGCAAGGCTAGGATTTTGTATAGAACCACCAACATTTGGAATAGAGGATACAACACTGTCGCTTCAATGGATGAAGGTGTTGGAAAATGTTGGAAAATTGGTATGGGTTTGATGAACAAGGCGGCTCAAAGAACATGGGCGCGATTTATGAATAGAATAATAATCATATGAATCAGGAGAATGTGATGTACTGTGGAGAAATGAAAAATGTATTGAATTAATTAATTGATTGTATGTATTGGTGATTCCTAGACAGCTTATATACATGTAAACTTAATAGACCAAATCCGGATTATATACCATCCAATACTCGTTACTTACTCTAACATGTACAATAAATCGCACGGCACTATACAACATGAGTATGGGACCTGGGTCGGTGGATGAAAGTCTACCTCACGGGTATCAAACCATGCCATGCACTAGTTGAGTCTCAAGCATCAGACATTTTCAAATAAGGAGATATCAATCATCTTCGTCGTGAGTCATGTGTGAGAATCTTTGTTCTTCCAATCATATGGAAACTTCAGAAACACAGAGTATGAATTTCCGACAGAAAACGACTTTGATCATTACGACAACGGTTGGTGCAGGTCAAGTTGTTGCCCTATAAAAAATCGTCTCTTACTGAATAACACCAGAGGATACAGGCGAGGTTTAGGGCATAGGATCTAGGATTTATGCAATACATATTTTTTTCTGCTTACTATAAATGTACCGTGTTGGTACTGTAGGGATTTTCGGGATCAACTGCCTATGTCGTGTAAAATTATCTGCAGGTGCTGTGCATTTGACAATATAAATTTATACAAGCCTCAAAAAACAACTCCAGTGACGCAGTGGTTAGCGTGTCGTTCTTATATCGGTCATCTGATGATACCAATATGATCAGCCTTAGAAATGCGAAAGTCGTGGGTTCGACACCCACCTGGAGTATAGATTTTTGCACTCATCAAATTTAGAAATCCAAAATTTGCTCGCCGAAATTTTTGATTGAATTTACGACGCTCGTAACGATTCGTTTGCCACCGGGGAACGATGGCTGAACACTTGTCAGTGGTGTCCTCTACGAACCTGGGAGTGAAATATTCTCCCAGAGCCAAGTTAAATCAAACTTCGCAATACCGAACAAGTTGGCCCACGAGGCAATGATTTAAAATACTCCACCATGTTAATCCTTCACTCCCAACGAAATCGATTCCTACCCAAGCCTCATCGAATCTACAAGTACGACCTGGTATATCCTTATTCCAATGATCGCACCTCTCGTCGACTTTCTCTGGCCTCAGCTCGTCACCATCTACACGCCCACGCCTGTATTTATACCCGACGGAGGACACCAAGCCTGGCGCACAAATATGGGAGACTATCCTTTGGGATTGGCGTGACAGGATTCAGGACAAGTTGACAAGATGATTCAAAGGGGGGATATATAACCTCAAAGGGCGTGAAATTTTGAATTTTGGCAAGAGTTTTACGAGTTGAGCTTTGTGCGCGCCAAGACCTTGCTTGCGAGAGTGCAGCTGACACTATAAACACTGCTATGGCTGGATGGTGCAGTGGTATATCGTCTTGGCCGGTATGCCGAGTAGAGTCTGCATAGCTTGGACATATATCCCACTTAAGACAGTAGATCGCTGGTTCAAATCCAGCAAAACACAACCACTTTTCTCGCGGCGCTGGTATGCATGGATGACGAAGGCATGCTTGGATAATCAAAGGTTTTGAAACGTCCCTTTGGTGGGTACTTACGGAGGAGGGTCGACTGTTTGTGTAAGCGAACATACCTCATAGTGGTATTTGCAAATGAAATCCAGAGTATGAGTGTCTCTAACGTCAAAAAAGTCATCCTACAAGTATACATAGCACCGGTCGTGTGTCATAGCTATGTAGATGTATACACATTAAATGGGGTTGAAAAAATAGGTTCGATGGTATCCGAAACGCACTGGCTCGGAAATACTACCTTGCGATAACAAAGTGGCTGGTTGATGCTAGACCACTGGGAGTTCGGGATCAGCAAAGCCTCGGGAATCTATGTCTGAGTATAAACTCAGTTGTACAAGTTCAACCGAGTTAACGGAGTATTATATACGATTAATGCATATGGAGAAGGGAGTTCGATATCCCATACGACTATGAAGAAATTCTTGGCCGAAATTGTAGGCTTGCTCTTCGAGATGATTCCTCCTAGAAATCGATGACAATTTCTAAAACATTTGCATGATCTTGTGAAGCTGTCCTGAACCCTCTCACCTCCACGCCAAAGAACTATCCTCCAGATTTGTGCGCCACGCTTTATTTCCCCCGGCGGGTGTAAATATCGGCGTGGCCGTGTTTTTGGTGTCCAGCCGAGGCTAGAGAAAGTCGAGGTGAGGTGCTGTCACTGAAATTAGGAGATACCAAGTCGTACTTGCAGACTTGACGAGGTGAGGCATGGAGTTGATCTGGTATAGAGTGAAAGTCTGACGTGGGCCAACTTCTATGGTGTTGCGAAATTCGACTGAATTTGAATCGGGAAGAATATTTCTCTCCCAGGCTCGCAGATGACACCGCGTAGAGGTGATGAGTCTTACGCTCTTGACAATGAACTCTGCTCCCATGGTAGTCGTCCTGCTTTCCGCACTACTGTGCCAATACAGTGCATCATCACAAGAAATGTGCCGTGCGCTGGCGCGAAGTTATCTAATGAAGAAGCAAGCCACGGGCTTCGAGATGAGAGGGACGAATCCACGCTGCGGCTGATAGGTGCAGAGCTTGAGGCCTCGAGGTTTAATCATGATAGAAAAATATCGCGGATCGCGATTCTCATCTACCCGGTTCCCGCAAGATCCCACCGGCATGATGTGGCCATCAACGCCAGGAAACAATCAAGCGACACGAAGTATACGCGCGAGCCCTTCCGAGCCTTGATCTCTAAATATCTAGCCTCGAGCCATGCACCAAGTCCTTGTATGCAGGCCGTAGAGTGATCTATACATATATCATCGCAATTCCACCAAACACGAAAGTATAGCAGGCTAATGGACAGAAAAGAGATATCTTCAACCTGCAAGTTGCCTATCTACTGCTAGGCTGTCGAGGAAGGATGTAGATAAACGGCTCCTTGCAATGCATACACCTCACGTGTGACATCAGGTACGAGAAGGCAGGAGATACGAGACGTGCGCCATTTCCTTTGCTATATACAACGACTAGCATAAGCAAAACTTTATCCAAGCACATGTGTTCCCAAACTTTCAGTACATAATCTAACAAGTCCCAGACCCAACTCCCGCAATTCACCGAGTACTAGCTTCTCCAACTGTTTACTTTCGTTGACCTGAACTTTTGTCCCGCTTGATCAGGCTTAGAATTGATGTTAAGTGTCCATCTTGGTTTCTCTCGACATTGGATCTAGTGTGAATTAATCTGACGGCGTGCTTGATGGTGTACTTGGAGATGAAGAGGATGGCGTAGATGGCTTGGCTGGGAAAGTTGGAACCTTTGGTACTTCAGGGATATCTGGGATTTCGGGAATATCTGGAATGCTAATGGTGTGTCCGCCTCCGGGGCTTTTGCTTGAAGCCTGTTTTGGCATTGAAGGAACATCAGGGACCGTGGGAAAATCCGGGAAAGAGGGAACGTTGATGGGTTCCCTCTGTTTTTTATCTGGGATTTCAGGAGTGTCTGGTGCTTTAGGCGCCTTGTCATGACCCAATGGTGCTATCGAAGTAGAAGAATCAAAGATCGATCGCGGTGCATTGTTTGTGCGAGTAGGTGGTACTTCAGGTACTGTAGGTATAGTGGGTATGTTTGGAACAGCAATAGAAGCTGCCTTATTGGATCGACCCTGTTGATCGGCGGGGAACGAAGTGACAGTTGCGGCAAGAAGCCAAGTGAATGTAATCATAGAATACAACATTGTGCGGTAGCAGCTGTTGAAATAGGACGAGATGTAATAGGTTTGATGGGAGCAAGAAGTTGAGCTTAGTGAATATCAGTATCGAAGCTGATAGTTGATGAGGAGAGAAGTCGTGATGATGATATTGTAACATAGTGGAGATTGATACTTATATATCTTGTGGTTGACGACTCCCTAGGCCCTGTCATCGCGGGGTGCCAAAGGTTAGATGCTGCACAGAGCTACAAGCTAACTAATTTGATGCCAACCGCCGACAGCTATGATGAGATTGTTTGAAACAAGGCGTCATGGAAATACGATGACTTCGGGTCGAGGCACGGCGAAGACTGTCCCTCGCCTCCCTCCGCCCCTCACCTGGTTGTTTTAGATAGCGCCTGCATGCCCGATTACATGGATTTTAGTGTCGTAATACAATTAGAGGTGAAGCGAATACCTCACGTAGCTCAAGGTTTTTTCATGTCCTCTCAGGGCATGATAGAGGGAGGTTGAATCGCACGATAACGATTGTGTAGATCTTGAGTAGGGTGAAGAGGGCAATATTTTCATTTATCACTAATTCCAGTGATACTTGGTACTCATTAAACCTAATTTCTGAAGGAAACAATCCAGTTGATCTTTCATTCTTGCTCGCTTCTTGAGCGATACTTTTCATGGTATGGAACTCCGTCGCTTGGCAAAACGAGAGTAAAAATAATATTGAAGTGAGATTTCTCCCCGCCTACTGCCACCGGCTTCTGATTCTAGACAGATGGGAATTTAGGTAGTAGAGGATAGCATTTTCCGCTCTTCTCTAGTGCATGATCAGCTCTCTGCTCGTAAGGCCACATTCTGACAGGCTAGATCGTAAAAATCGGTGCGTATCATTTTTACCAGGGAAACTTGAGACGCAATTAAGTCCTGGAGAACATGCTGCTCTGAATTTAGAGTCCGAGGTTCCAACTGCTACGGGCCCTAACTATCCGCAATCGTGATTGTAGGTAGTCCCAGGGCCTTGCAAGCTAACGATATTTAGCCTGGTACGTGACGTGTGGCGACCAATGACTACCATTTCATTGCCGACCCTCAAGTCAATCGCATCAAACAGTCCTCATGAAATCGCCATTATGTCATGATTTTTCTGCTGCTTTTCCCTTTCGTCGGACGCGAAGCGCGACTAGATGCGGTCAATGAACTAGAAAAATTCCTCGACACTCCACCTATTCCTTGCAGAGTTATATCTCGGGTATCGGGGTAGGCAGGAATACTCCGCGCTTTCCATCTCAGTTGTAAGAACGTTTCAAATTTTTCTTTACCATCTATACTATCAATCGAGCACTAGAGGGAGCCTTCATCTGCCCTGCACTTTTCTGGCCTCCCGTTTCAAATGACTCAAGGAATCAATGCTCCATCTTTAAATATAAGTGGTTACCAGTTAAAGTTAGATTCGGTTCCCTCCAGCCTTGCTTGGCGAAGGGCATATGTCATCTAGCAGGCTGAATTAAATTAGAAGGTCTACGATGTGCCAACGCCTTCCTGAATACCTTGGAATCTTGACGCCATCAAAAGGCTAGGTCTATTTTATTATCATTATTATTATTATTATTTAACGTCGGAAAAGGCTAGGTCTAGCACAAGAAGTTGGATCAGCCCTATGGAAACGGCCACGTGGCATACGTGGGTCTAGGCTCACGGGTGCTAAATATTCTTTTCAAGGGCCCAAGTTCAAAGCAACCTAAAGATTTACCGCAAAACGTTGAGAGAGCCATCCAACTGCACCGTACTCACTCTTACCTTTCTAGGCTTCTTGAAAATCGACTAATCGTTCAAATCCTAGTGGTTCACAGACAACTGTTAACCTCTATGAGCAGCCCTCTTATTCATCTCTCTGCAAGGAACTAGGAATGCTTGATCTCGAAATTTCGTTATCAATAGCGCAAGTATTTTGAGAGGCAAAAACTTAGAATTTCAGACTTAGCGCCTATGTAAGATAGCTTCGAGACATATCCTGTCGCGCATTACAATTGAAAAAGCTCCTGACGCATAGACAAGTGTGAACAACTGGCTCCTGCTCTGCTAGAGCCGCGTCAGTTTCTGTCTCACCTCATGCAACTTCTCTCTCCATCACTCATAATATTGCTCGCCGCCCAGAAGCCGTGATAAAATTCGGAGCTTTAATCATGAATATTAATTAACTGAACCCTATGAAGTTTCATAGATGAGTGAGAACAAAATTTGCCTTGATTTAGGGCAAGTTATGATGTTCTTTAGCCCTGAGCCTCTAGAAAATCACCGCCTCCATTAAAATTTTAGTTGCCACAAATATCGTCATAGCTGGCGACGATTATTTGCATTGAAAAATCCAAATTCTTTCCAGTGGCGAGTGGCGTTTAAGAGGGTTGAGCGTCTCCTAATGAGAAATTCTCTAGGTGTACTTCGTAATTAGTATGGCTAAATTTAGTTGAGCTCAGTTGTTATTTTCTTACATTTAAAGGCAAGTCCGAGTAAAAGTATCAAGCTGAAGAATTAGAAGATGTATAATAAGTTGAGACTGGTCAGGCAATAACTACAAAGTATTATTTCTTAAACCAAGCTATTAAGTCGGCTTCAGATAAACGATTTAATAGTTGACCTTGGCCTCTACACCAGCTTATTCAGTTAGTATTATATTTCCAGAATACAGGATTATTCCAATCAATCAGTTAACTAGTAGGAGAAGCACAAAAGATTGAAAAGAGGGTTTAAATTATTACCTAAGATGTTAAATCTCATGCATAAATTTGAAGCCTCAAGCCAAACCTCTAGCCTGTTTGATGAAGAGCCGGCGAGAGTGACCATGGTTGCGTTCTACGTGCTCAGATCGATTGTACCACAGAGGCTGCTACCGTAATAGAGTCGCACCGTAGCAAAGGCTGACTGGATTTTATGCCAAATGTGGTCATGCCACTTTGTAGGTCGAAGCTAACTCTTATCATGATAGCCAAGGAATTAGGCCATTACTTTCTGCATTCGTTTAGTTGCCTGTTAAAGGCTAGCTCTTTCCCGCATCTTAGACTCCGATTCTAACATCTCTACTCACCAAATTTTTCTTGTGCGTGTTATTTGATTGACTGGCTTAAAATTTCAAGCCGAATACTCTGGAAAAATGAGAATAGAATTTTAATATTCACCGAATTAGTGTGACTTTGCGATAGTTTTAAAAACATTTTAGAAATTTTAGTCATATTTTGACTTCATTTAATCCGATTTGGCGCCATATGGGCCAATGCAGGTGCCCATCATACTTTCTATTTTATATGGGAGGAAACCTTTTGAAAACACCCCCAACCCTTCCTGATTACTGTCTATTTTTTCTGCTGTATCCTTCAGGAAGCGCAGTCACACTGTAGTGCCCTCCATGTAATCCCATCACATCATCTCTGCCGACCCCAAGAATTGCTTGACCTGTTCCTCTCTCTCAGCAGCATTTCGGCCACCTTTGTCATCTGGAATTGCTCTATCCAACCATGCTTTAGGATCCAGCGTGTAATGCTTTTGATGTCGCCAGGATTGTTTATCATACCTTCGTAGGAACGATCTTTGGCTTGTCTCCAAAACTCTCCCCTACCATTTTACCATCGAGAGCAGGACATAACCATGTGCTTGGGGTTCTGCGATTGGTAGCCACACATACAGCTTCGACAGTAGACTCCGGGTACTTTTCTTATGTATAAATACGAATTGAGCCCCATGTGCTCACTTTGTATTTGAATTGCTTAACTATCTTTCTCGCGGTTCGGGTGTACTCGGATAACCCAAAGTGTTGAAACATCTGTTGAGTGGTTGCTCCCTATGGGTGGTCGGCTTTTCCACGTAAGCTTACACACCTGATAGTGGCGTTTGCAAATGAAATCTAAAGTATGAGTGTCTCTAAATTCAAAAAAGTTATCATACGTGCATACAAGTCAATGTTCATGTGTCGGTACTGGAGGGCTCCATATTACAGGCTGCTACCTCATTAGACTGGATTCGGAGTTTATTCGACTCTCTACAGGCCTCATTCTTAATTTGGTTAAGATCATGTGATTGCTTATGTAAGATAAAACCAACTCGACGCATTGTTTTCACACCCGGGCAAGACGCCAATAAGTACTTTTATGTATAGATAGAAGATAGTTATCATTTTCGACATATGTTTGTGAGAATCTAACGTACTGTCCTCTCACACTGCATACATGTTAGTAATAAGAAAGACCGATTATCAACGAAACCAGGAAAAGAAACACATTGCCTGGCCTCGGTATATTGCGCCCCTACAGTACCTCTCGACATCCTGTTGGAAATGGAGACACAAAGTGTTGTGGACGTATGGGCCCTCCATTTCGTCTAGGTTCCCGACACAATTTTATGTGTATTTAAGAGGTTGGAATAGGTAATATGGTAGCGCTTCAGGCTACCTATTGTAGACATGAGTGGCTGCATGGCGTGGGCGCAAGGAGGTTATTGGGGGTTTTCTATGCCTAGATGGCGCCACACTCCTTTATGCTGTGGCTTAGGCTCTGTGTCACTTACACTTGTACTTGTAGCGCACACCTCCCACACTTCTAGCTTTAATCCGAACATGACACTCTTTTAGTCAACTTCTACTTTCGTTCCATGAATATTGCGCCAATTTCATTGCGCGATATTTCCAACACATCCTTAAATGGCAAATCAATTTCTAACACATCTTGGCCTGCACTTATTTGTAATGCAGAGACCAAAGTCATTTTTCCATTTTACCATTCACTGAATTAGACATGATATATTCTGTTTCTGAGGTGTTGGAAGAACTGCCAAGAACCATAATAATTAAGACATTGAAGAATGGACCAGAATTTGTGGCCTTGAGAATGAGAAAGGGAGACAAAAAGAAGCCGGTAAGGTGGCCGCGTTCCAGGAGTGGAAAAACTCATGGACACGTCCAGCAAACGAGATACCATCTGGTCATCGAGCTTCGGCAGACCCCGAACATTGGAAAGCCGCAAATATTATTACAGATGAGA